GTAGGGAGAATTGAGATACATGGAAACAGGAAAAAAAAGACACCAACTAAAGGCTGGCTCGTTGGTGTGTTAGTTGGTTTGTTCCAGCATTGATGTGGAATCAAATCCCACAACCAACACTTCGGGAAGGAAAAAAGGGGTCAAGTGGAAGTAATTAATGGTGCATAGCACCTAATACCAAAAAAACAAAGGAAATATAATAAAGACAAAACAGCTTCACCAAGATCACAATCACATCTCTCTTCAACTACTCCAATTTTAATATTAAGTAGATTACTTTTACATTAACCCTACCTCTCAACTAGGGGCGTCCACAGTTCGGTTACTGAACCGTGGGCATATTTTGCAAACCGAACTGGTATCACTAGTTTTTGTATCAATCCGAACCAAAACTGAACCGAAACAAGCGGTTAACCGGTTCAATAGTTAATTGGTCTTCGATTTTCGATTTTTTTTCATTTCTATTAAAAAAATGTTTTCTGTCTAAAATGAGAAAAATAACAAAAGAAAAAAACGTGATTCAAGCCAAATAGGTATCATTCGACATTCAAACAAGAGGCATTCATGTTTTAAACAAATTTTATATCAATTATTTTAATTAAAAAATCATTTACCTGCAAGTCTACCACTGTTGAAGTAAGGGAGAAGAAAACCAGAGCCCAATGATTTAGATTCGGAGAATGAGAAGAATGGGGGAGAAAGAGAACTAGATGATGGTGATGGCATCAGGGGAGAAATAGAACCGGTGACTAGAGAGGAGAAATGGTTCGGTTATGCTTGAGGAAAAGAAAGAAGACTAAAAGAGGGTAGAGGCGACGACGGTGGGGAAGAAATAGATAATTGGCGGACTGGACAATGGCGACGAAGGAGATGAAAGAAGAGGCGACAACGACGACGATGGGAGAGGAGCAACGACTTACTTGCTACTAGGGTTTCTAGTGAGTGGCTTATGCTGTTCAAACTTCAAACAAGAAGGGGTTTTGTTTTGGGGTTCGAATGAATGAAAAAACACTTTTTTTTTTTGGGCTGAGAGAGAGGGGCACTAGGGTGGGGAAACATATTAAAATAAAAATAAAATATATAATATATAAAAATTGGTCAGTTCGATTAACTGTCGATTTTTTGATAGGTTAACCAAAAACCGAACCGACCAGTTCGGTTAACCGGACTTTTCAGATCAGTTTTTTTTTTGGTTCAAACCAAATTTTCAGTTTCTTATGGACACCCCTACTCTCAACCGTTTAATTTAAATATTTCTCTTGGAAACCCCACCTTTTTGTTCTTTTTTCCTACGACAATGAACAAGACCTCGCTTGCTCAATTGCACTTTCTTCCAATCGAACCTTCGTCTCAACCTCTCTCTCTCATCATTACCGCCGCTGCAACATAGTGCCCTAGTTGTCTCTATTTTAGACTGGAACAACCTTGTTTGCATACATTAGTCAGTAACGACTCTTGAGTTTCTATTTGACTCTCAGAGTATCGAGCAAGTCTTCAGTGAGAATGATGTCATACACAGAAGAAGAAGAAGAAGAAGAAGAAGAAGTTGATACGTCCATGCTCGCTAGGTTAAATCCTCAAATCCAACATACGGAACCAAAGATTGAAGATTTTCTTGGTGGCCATTCTCCGTTTCTCAGAGACCCTCTCTCTATTCGGTATATCTCCTCCATCCTTTGAAACGTCGGATCTGAAAACCAACATAATAGTCCCGTTTATGGCCGGTGATTTTTACTTGGTTTACAGAATAGGGACGGGGTAATATTGGGTTTTAAAAAATTTTATAAGTCACATGGTGTTACGTGTGCACCGATTTTGATGGAACATTAATGGATGCTAACATCAAGGATAGAGTTAGTCAATTGTAAAAAACAATTGGGGTGGTTTAAGATAATAGTTAAACAGTAAAGGTACAATTTAACAATTAACTAAATAGTAGGGGTACTTTAATAAATTTATCCTTTTTTTAACATTTTGGCATTAAGTTCAGACCATCCCATATTTTTTATAATCTAGACCAAAAGGCCACATTAAAGTGTTTTTATGATGGGTTAACCTTTGATGCCAACTAGGTATGATATAAGAAGAGCTCTGACCAATCAAAACCCTATTGTATCTTTGATGAATGTCACCTAATTGATTACCACTTTTATGACACCAGTTGATTGATTGTAAATCTTTCTAATATCATGGTAGAACCTTTTTGTCATTTTCTTTTGGTAAAATTTTCTAACATTTAACATGTCTATTTTAAACCACCTTCTTCTTCTACCAATAATAAGGAACATATCCCTTTTTAACACAAATTGGATGTATCCCATGAAATTAGATTGGTTGAGACTTTTATAATACCGGTTGATTGGTTGTAAATGTTTCTGGTATCAAGGAAGGACCCCTTTGTCATTTTCTTTTGATAAAATCTTTAACAATGATAAGGAATATATACCCTTTTTTCTGAAATCACTCCACTTTAATTTTTTCAACTCATTTTTATTTAAATTATTTCAAAACCCTATTTTTGAAAATTGACAACCAACAATGTCAATAACCCACGAGCTCTGTGTAGCATGACCAGTGGGTATCACATGCATCCCGACTAGGGGTGCAACCAAGCAGAGTCAGGCTGAACTTATGTATGCCTTGGCTTGGTCAAGCTAAAATATTATTAAGTTGGAGTTCGAATTCAGTTTGAAAGCTCAAAAAATAAATACATATTTATATTTTATAAATATATACTATATTTTTTATATTATATATAGAATATAAAAATGTATTTTACATAAAAATATATTTTTGTAATATATATTATAAAATATGTTTTTATGTATATATTACTCGAGCCATGTTAATGAACTTTCAAGCTGAACATTTTATTAGTCGAACTTGGATTTAAATAACTAATCAAGTTTACTTTAAATATTTAAATTTGATTAGAATCAAACTTAAACCGAGTCTAATTGAATTTGAGCCCAAACTATTCAATTAAATATTGATTTAATTGTAGCCATAATCCTGGTTTGATTATAGCCATAATCCTAACTTATCCCCACCCTTGATTTCATTGTAGTGTGTACTATGTGCTTGGCGCCGAAAAGAAAATAATATCAAATCAAAACAAGAATGTCTTATAACAAATTAATTTGGAAGAATTGTGATGTTCAATTGGATCACGGTTCAGATGCAATAGTCTTTTACCAGACGACATGCATCATATGAATCGAATATTGGAATGCTCTCGGGCCAGAAGCAGATATGCTGTGATTAGGACTTAGGAGGCTTAAATTAGGCTGTCAATGGGTCTGATTTTTTTTGATGGAATCAATTCAATGGGTTTGATTCAGATCATACATGATTGATTTAAATTCAATCACATTAAAATTTGAATTCAAGTATAATCTTTTCATCGAATTGAAAGATTGGTATTGATTTGATTCATACATATGAATGAATTAAATTAAAAAAAATCTGAATATTAAGCATTATATTCAACGAAATGAACTAGAAATAACTTCAATATTGCTTTATGAAGTGAAAAATAGCCTTAAGTTGGTTGATTCTATTGGCTTTGCACTCTACTCCACCCAACCCACGAAAGGCAGCACCACCAAAACCTTATGGCTGTGTTTGGTTTGAAAGAAAAAGGAAGGGAAAGTCATTCATTTTCTTTCAAACCAAACACACAACCTATACTAAATTATTAATCAGATCAGTTTGTTACAGGGCCCACCACACCACTCGCCATCCCTGCATTTACTTGGCCTGTGGGATGATTTCACTCTGGTATCTGGAAAGTGGAAAGTAATATCATACCAGAAAAATGAAAAGAAATAAATGATTTTTAAATCAATTTATGTATAAATACACAGCTAAAATAAATGAAAAAAACAAATATATACAATAAATACAACTGTTCGTTCAGATTTCAGAAACTATCAATCCAACGACGAGTTTGTACAACTCTTTTGTTTTGTAGTGTGTTTTTTCATGAATTCCACTGCTTTGGAGAATAATCCAAGCGTTGCATAAATTGATTGATACATTTAGTAGCAATCTACATCTATTATTATTATTTGTTCTTATCTGTTGTTAAGAAAAATGTCTCTGATTGGACCAATTAATCTAAGGAATGAAAACAGATTCCGAGTCTTCTTTATCAAAAGAGAAAAAAAGAAAAACCCTGGAGTCCAATTCCAAAATTTCCAAATTTCCAATTATATTGCCCATGTTTCACTCATGCAAGTGTGCAACATGCCAGTGAAGGAGTGGGCCTACAAATGAATGAAATACGTGATAGGTCCATGGCGATGAGCCCATGGCATTCCTTTGATCACACTAAAAGGACCACTTATTCTCTTTGTTTTTAGCAACCCCTTACCAGTTACCTTCTTTGATTCTGATCCTACTGCCCTACACACCATGCATGGCCCACTCGTCTCGCAATTATATGCTGGGACCCACCAGTGTATATTGATCAATCAAGGTGACATTTTTGATTGAACGGCCATGACTCGTCGATCAAATTGAACTTTGACCTAGGGCTTCCATTTATACTGAACAAGTCCATCCTGCCCGTCCAATTTCATCATGTTAAAAAAGAGGAAGGGGTAATATCGATATTCTCTCATAATCCAGGGTCGTTAACGTAGTACGAAGTACGAACGACGACGGCTTGTGCAACCGTTCAATGATTGTCGCCGAAGCATGAAGATGAAGTTCTGTTTACCAGGGAAAAGGCATCGGCAATGGGACGTCGCGCCTTGCACGACTGACCATAAAGGGAAGGATGGGTCAACATTGTAAAAAACAAACAGGTGAAGGTTCACTTGATGACGTTGAATTGGAATATTCAGATGATCTTACTCTGAGATGGATCTCTAAATCCAATCCGACGGTAGATAAAGCATAGCTTAATTCAGAAGCTCAGAAAAGTTATGTTAGCTAATCCACGAAATCATATACGCAATATTATATGGTATTATGGTTACTTGGATTATAAATCTTTCAAGTTTTTAGTTTTTATCTCTCGTCGACCTGGTTCGGCGAATAGTCATCGAATCGAATGTAGGAGGAGGCTGCTGAAGCGAGAGGAGAACAAAAACAAACGCAGTCATCGAGGAGACAGAGGCAGAGACAACCCCAGAGAAAGAAGGAAGGGGGGAGAGAGAGAGAGAGAGAGATTATGTCAAATAAGATTTGTTCGTAATTGAGTTGTGAGAAGGGCTTGGTGTTGATAATCGAGGGGAGACTGTATAATTTTCTATTTCGGTCATGGAGGTCGAGGTTTCTGGTTCGAAACCTTTGGCTATTGAAGGCTCTAGAACGAGGGATAGAGAGCAAACTCGCGTGAAGAGGCAAGCCTTGCAAACTGTGCTCGATCAATGTCAGAGAGCTCTTGAATTGCTGAAGAACGCCGGCGATGAAGATATAGGCGTTGAATTGGAGGAGGAGACGGATGAGGAATCTTCGTCTCAGTGTGGTGATTCTGAAACGGCTGAGGTATGGTTGCAATTAACAGTTATCTTTTGTTTATTGTTGGTCATTTCTATCGACTTATGTGTGGGTCGAGTCTAGGGTTTCATGGCGCGTAACTTCATTCACCCGATTGCATGTAAGTTCATTTGATTTGTTTTAGGCGAATTAGCACGGAATTTGCATCTTTTGGATGCTTATCCAGTCAGCTGTAGAAAGAATCAATTTCGGGAAATTTTCTACTGATCCTGCTGTTCAGTATCTTTAAATCTATGATTATGAGTCTTCACTCTCAGAAAATTCGGTTATACTTGGATCATTGTTGTTTGGCAGGAGTTCTTGTAAAATAACGTTTCAGGCTATCATGTAGAGTAATTAAGTTCGTTTTTTCCTATATATGCCAATGAATATTTTTCTGTGTAGTAATTGTACTAAGAAGTGTCTCAAGCATTTTGAAACTACTCCAGTATTTATTGCCATTTGCTAGTTACTAGTTAGTCGTTCTCAGGATGATGTGGATTTGGTTGCTTCTAAATAAATACGGCGTGATGGCTATGGAGAAATAATGAGCATATCACGCATAAATTCCTAAGACTGAAACATTTATGTGGTTGGTCTTCCTCGATAAAGTTCTTACTTCGAATCATCTCAATCAGGGGAAATGTTTAACATCCTTTTGTTAGTTGCTTCTTTATTTGGTCAATGTGGGAAATTTTTAGCTCTATTTTAGCTCCGGCTGGGCAGCATTCCTTCAGTTGGGGTCATTATCTCTTCTTGGTCCTTAGTCTCTAGATTTGTGTATGGCCTTTCTTGGTTGCCATGCCCTTTGACACCATCTTGTCAGAGATTGAATCATGCATGTATATGCTTGACAAGTGACAACCATCAGTTTTGAAGGCATTATTAAATTTCCCAATTGGGTTTTATTGAGATAACACTTCAGCGCTATATGGTGTAATTTGTGCCATAAGAGTTTGAAGATTGGACTCCCTTCTGTCATGGTCTATCATGTATGGTATGAGGATAGGCTCTTAAATTTAAGCTTTGCATCCAATGTCGGCATTAGGGACAAGGAAATAGTTTTGTTGAGCATGTTTAATCAGAGTTGGTATTGAATAATCAGAAGGCAAAGATATGTTAAGAATCATATAGCTTTTATTTGATGGTGTGATTATGAATGGTTATAATCTTTTTCTCATCATTTTAAGGCATTCCACTGAAGCAATATATTCATACTAATGGTATATGTTATGCTTCTGTTAGTAGTTTGTTTCAAATGGTTACTGATTTGAAATTGAAAATTAAGATTCTTTCTTCTTCATATGCAGCTATGTGATCTTCTGAAATCTAGACTTGACTCCCCAAACTTCCTTGAAAAGCTGGAAAATGCCCAAGTTCCACAAAATATGGCTGGTATGCATCTAAGAATGGTTTATTCCCTGGTATGCTAGATTATGGAATTTTAATTATATACCCCTTTTCTTCAGAAGATATCTAACTGGAAAATATGTAAACTTTCTATGTCCATGTTGACATTTGAATGACTTGAGTATTTTGGATAACTATGTTGTGCTGCTTTTCTGTTGCACTATTTTATGATCTATTATTAGTGGTAAGTGCTAAAAGGGCTCTATTTGTATTGTTACAGAAGAAGGTAACTCTTGGGATCTGGTCAGTGAAAATGATCTATGGGAAGGTGGAAATGTTAATGGAGATATTGAATTGGAACACGAAGGTTATGTTCTTGTTAGGCAAGAAGATATTGTAGAGGGCATTGCATGTTTCATGGCTGCATATTTGTTGTCTCTAAAACAAACTAAAGTATGTGAAGGTTCTCCTTTTGTTCTTGGTAGTTTTTCTTTTAAATATTTGTTTGAGTTCATATTGTAAATAGTAAAAGGATTGCAATTTTGTCCATTATATTTGAATTGACATCCAGCTATCTTTATGATTGGTTGGATATCATTGGAAGTGACTAATCCTTTAGTATTATTGTCTAGCAACATGTTTCATACTTCTCTTTCCTTATGTGCACACTTATTTGTTTTGAGTTTACAACTTAGCTGCTTAGAATTGGAGGTTTTTCCTGCTATGAAAATCATCACATATTAGTTTGTCTACCTGGATAATTCATGTGATGTTATTAAGGATGCTACTAGGATATATATGCAATCGTTAAATATTAACATATCCAGTAATCTATGTGTCTGGATGTAAGGGCCATTTATGTTTTAAATCTTTAACAGAAGAAAACTATTAATGAAAAAATAATTTAAAAACAAAAATTTGATTAAAAATGCTAGAGGTAGAGATGGAAGTAGTGTATGATTTTTCTAATGCAGTATCTCTCCTCAGGTGATACATTTTGCTTCACCAACCATTCTCCAGCCCCCTCGGTGAAAACTTCATTCTCTATTCTCAAACCTTCCAGGGTACACCTTTTCTAATTCCTCTCCTACCACAAAATCTGTCACAGCCTTCTTCCTAACTTATAAACCTATTCAGCTATTCCTTTGTTCCTGCCCAGTCCACTCTGTACCAATTTCCCTCCTTCAGCACCTTTTAGGGGCTTCTTGTCTGGATTGTTGAAGCACCTCAAGATGAGGAACTGTTTCCTCCAAATTACATGACACCGCTATCTATACTGTGATGGAAAGGTTTCTACTCTCACTAATAATTACCCAGATCATACTTACAGAGGAGGTAAAGGAAAACATCCCTCAAAGATTGGAGAATTTCATTATAGGGATATTCTTGGTCTGGTGGAATTTGTTGTGGGATTGGTTTAGGTGTGCAGGAAGAAGTTCAGATGCTTCTGCTTTCTAATTCCCTTTGCCATTAAACTGTACCTTTGACATACATATACTTGTACACACATTATACATATTTTTATGTATATTATATTTCTTTTATTTTTTACAATTGATATTTTATTAACATGGTTTCCTAAGGGTGAAGCTTGTCTACCTCTTTTGTACAATATTGTGGATCATTTTCATAATTTGAGGATCTGTGTAATTCTTCTTTAAGTTGTAGTTTCATTGGTGCACCATATCCTTGTTAAGAGTAAGCATTAGAGGTTCAAACCACAGAACTCCAACGGAAAAGTATTATGAACAAAAAACTAACATAAACTATATATTTTTTGCCTTGTTACTTGCCCTTTTCACCCAAGCTTCAGTCCTCCATTTTGTGAGGTTCAATAAATAGGCTGTTAGCAACAAAATTTGATGTTTGGATATTAAACATCTGAGGGTGAGCCATGATGCAACGGTTGGGTTGTTCCACTGCGACCTGGGTGACCAGGGTTCAAATCTTGGAAGCAACCTCTCTGTATGTGCACAGGGGTAAGGCTGTGTACATCTGTCCCTCCCCAGACCCCGCATTGGCAGGAGCCTCGTGAACTGGGGCTTCCCTTTTATATTTAACATCTGCTTTCTGATTAATATAATCTGCTATCAATCTCTTGAACTAAAGTTGGTTTGGAGGCTGGGAAATACAAACTAAGGTTTTTGGTCTAGTTTTCCTGTTGGAGAAGATTGATAGTGTGAGACTTGATATACTGTGTTTGTTTTGCAGGATTTGACTCCAAATCAACTCCAAGAAGGTTAATTTGATTTTCTTCTTTCCAGAATGTTTGTGATGATTACCCAAGGAAGAGTTAAATGCCAATGGAGTTTGTTCCTGTTATTCAAATTTTCATACATCTACTACTAGTTGGTTTTGCATATACTGGAAAAAAAAATCTGACACTGTCTTTTTTTTTCTCTTCAGCCCTGAGTAAAACATTCTCTGTGAAAAAGAAAAAGGGGAAGCTTCGAAAGGCATGGGATGGAAGCAAAGTTATTTATAATGTAGCATCTTGGGGTGCAACTGCCATTGGGTAAGTTGCATTTAATTCATTTTATGTACTTGTATAATTGATTTATTTAGTTCAAATCAGCCCTAGACTAGATGTCGTGGCTGGKCTTGTGAACGAACTGAACTGATTGTAATTTGCTGTTCTTTTGTATAATTGATTGAGTGCCTTAATTGGATTTTAAGGATATTTATGGTAATTCATTGTTGAGAAGTCGTAAGTAGTATGTTATCTTTCCATTTTTGCAAAAATGTTGTTGCTGTATAATGTTATCTCATTCATTAAGGCTGCTATTGTTGAGGAATCTTAGAAAGTAGTCTGCCAAGGCTGTTATTAGGCAGGCAAGTTAGTGGATAGTGGTCAGCCTCTAGAGGCTGAACGCAACATTTTATCCAAGGTATTGTTTACTCTCTAGGGGCCATTACTTGGTGTAATGGTAACGCAGGTTCTTTGATAAAAAAGGGGTAACACAGGTTTAAAGTCTGTGAGCAGGGCACTATGTCCAAAAAAATGCTAAAGGTTAGGACTGTATCCAGTCTATCCATCCCAAAACCCCAGAAAGCTGGGACCAACATTGGGTAATGGGCCTAATGACCTGTTTTTTATTGTGTACATCCTATTTGAAATGAATGAATTTTCATTCAAATTTGGTGGAAGGGCTAAGCTTTACCCGGTGAATCATTCAACAACATCATCCTACCTGAAGGGAGACAAAAGAAAGGGGGGAAATCGTAAAAGAAGACGTGGGCATTTTTGGTGCTAGTGCTAGACTGCTTGTCATTTATCAAACGTGCATATTTAATTGTGTAGATTTCAGTCCTGGAGATATATATTTTTTTTCTTATTTTAATTATGTTTTAATTTAATAGTGCAAGCCAAGTGCTTCATCAGATCCCTATGACTTTAACTTGCGCATTTTGTCTTCATTATAACTGTGCCTGAAATCTTTGCAACATATATGCAGACACAACCTCATGGCTTCATCCAAGTTTGCAGCACTTTATATCATGCAGGTTTACTGACCTCTGTGTCTTTCTTTTTGAATCTTTGGTTGCATAGGATATATCAAAATCCAGCACTATTTAGAGCTGCTTCAGTGGCGTTTTGGACCTCCTGCGGTGTTATATCAAAGCTTTTCTAAATTGTATGGCGCAACTTTGGAGAAAGCCTGAAGTTTACTGTTGTGTTCCATTAAGTTGTCTAAAAGCTGAAGCTGGGTAACTGCAAAATTTGTTACGCATAGCGGTGATCTGGGTTACAAGTTAATTTATTGCCACCATGTTGTCGTGTCACTGTATATATTTCCATTTACTAAATCTTTTCCTTGTTCGGTTATCAATTTGGATCACCCAATTGTATTGAGTTGGCTAGATCTCAGTATCCAGTCAATCGTTACTGATTGTGCTAAGCCAAATTGACTGGTGTGCTTTGATGGGAACTGCTCCACAGCATTGTATTTAGTATTTTATTCTGGCAATGGTCCATTACTTCAACACCCTAATCTAGGGCTTTATAACCAAACTTTGTGGTTACATTAGTCCTGTTCCACCAGTGAATGCCATGTTCATTGTTAAATTACGGACCCTTGGATGATATCCTGCCAAAATAAAAAACACTTAGGGCTTTGAAATGACCGACAATTGCCATTTGATTTGACTGGTAGGGTTCGACTATGATACCGGAAAAAACTGTAAACCGATTAACCGGTATTATAGAAGTGGTAACCAATCAAAATTCACGGGGGTTCCGGGTTTTGATTGTTTAAAGCTCTTTGGTATCATGTCTTTCCGGAAGCATAGATTTTTCTCTGATTGGTATGATGCTTGAGAAATGAAGGCAAATTGTGGCTTCAATAAACACTTAAAAAGTTAAATCATTTTGCAGATTTGCAGGCTTGAACTGTTGCACAAAACAATTGCATATTTATCGCTCATCTGCACTGCATTCCGAATTTCAGAAGGAATCAAGCCTCCTTTTTTTCACCTATTGAATCGAGCTCTGAGAGAGGTTCATAGAGGAATTACCATAATAGGCGCCTGAGTCTGGCGGATGAGCGTTACTCGTTAGAACGTCATCATAGTTCGGTGGTTCTCGGTTTCCCACCTTCTAGTGGTACCTTTATGGGTCATTTTATAATTTTCTAGTTTGCTTGGACAAGTAAAAACTGGCTGAGGCAAATTTTTTTTATATATAAGCTAGATTTGAGTCTTTTTTTTTTATCAATAACACTTTCATTAACTCATCAATAGAAGAATTACATTAGGAAGACAAACACACTTATCTTCCAAGAACAACAAAAAACCTCAAAAAAAGGAAAAAAAAAGAAAACACACTATAGTTACAGTTTAATCCAAAATAGTGAATCTCTTTCTGCCCCTTGTTTAGCTAAACCGTCAGCTATGGAATTAGCTGATCTTTTAACCCAATATATCTTAACTTCCATCTCTTGCACCAGCCACTTAAATTTTCTCCTCTCATTATTGTACTTCCATAAGCCATTGTGATCTTTAATTAGTCACCCTATCACCACCTCTGAATCCCTTTCAATTAAGAATTTCCTAATGTTCAATTCCTTAGCTTTTTGGACTCCTTCCATAACTGCAAAGATCTCAGCTCTAAGGGAGTCACCCACTCCAATTGGGCCTGAGAACATGGCAGAAATGACCCAATTTTCATCCCTAAAAACACCCACAATCCCTGATTGTCCCGGATTTCCCCTGCTACACCCATCAAAGTTTAGATTCACGAATCCACCAAGTGGAGGGATCCAAGCCACACTCATTACTTAGTTTGTGTGCAACTTGCAATTTCACCCCACTTCCTCAACATATCATCCATAGTGTAATCTGTGAAAAGTACCGCCCTAATATGAATGATAACCCTCAGATCTACTGCTCCTATTTGAGCTTCTAAGAATATCCTGGAGTTTCTTTTTTCCCGAAGTGTCCAACATACTGCAGCCCTTAATTCTCTCAACATTGTCTTCCCCTTTTTATCTGCCACCTGAAAAGAGAAGGGAAAAAAAGGCCCTGCAAGTCTGATGGGAGATTATAGTTACATCCAAATAGGGACAAAGCCCATTCCCACATTGACCTCTCAAAACGACAAGACACCAGTAGGTGAAAATCAGTCTCCTCATCCGCTTTACAAAGAACACACCACTGAGGTGACAAACAAGTATTGGGTCTCTTCTTTTGGAGTAGATCCACAGAAAACACACCACAAGCTAGATTTGAGTCTCATCAGAGGACCATGTAAAGAGTGGGATCCACAACAAGTTGTGCTAGTATTTCACGATGTTGCATGGCAAGGTACTTTGGTTGTTTCTCGGCTTCTCCTTTAAATAAATTTATTATGTTTAATTTGCAGGGGAATTCAAGAAACGTTGATGAAACTGCCAAAAGTGACAAAAATGCAACAAGAATTGACTAGAAAAAAACTATTGATTTCATTATAGAGAATGTATAAATGACATTTGATTATAGAGAACACAAATGGCAGGATCAGTTTCAGTGCTCTACAATATTTTGTGTTGAGGATAAAATATCAAGGGGGCAAAAAGAGAAACAGGACTGTTGCTGCCAAGGATGGGCGCCTGCATCAAGGACCATTTAGGAGGGTAACCCTTAATCAATTTAACCCAAGCTGTTCTCTCCCTGTACAAAAAATTGGAAGAACTCATTTTCTTAATGATCTCTTTTGAAAACTGATATTCTTTGGAACATATATACATATCTTGTGATCTAATAGTAGTAACTGTTGTCCTTGTGGTTTGGAGCATCCTTGCACAGCATTGAGCGCACTTCAATGATTGATCTTGGTGGTTCCAGGTCTTTTTCTTGTAGTGCATTCCCAAGCAATTGCTGCACCTGTGATGCAAAAGTATCATCCAGGATCTGCAAAAACAAACGAGGGGGTAAACACCTGAAGGTCTTATAGAGAACAGAAACGACCATAATTATATTATCGAAAACCCTTCTAATTTAAATAAATCATACTCGTTTAGACGAAAAAGGTACAAAATGTAAAAGCAGTATACAGGAACACTGGGAATGATTATCAATGTTTCAAAAACCAAAGCAGACATCAAACAACCATGACTGCTGAGCATTCCAAGAATGTCTGATCCGATGATTCAGTTCCGATCTTTTGTTGTTAGATATACGAGATGCACTCTCTTTTAAGAGCTGGTAAACAAGCCCTTGTATAGGTACCATGCGGACAACTTTGTCACTAGAAGAGAATTATTACTTTAGAACATAGAATATGTGTTTTAGAATGAACTAAAGAATAGGCTACTACTTACAGCAACTGCAACACGTGAACCCTTATACCAGGACCTGTTCTCTTTCCTATTCTCCAGAAAACTAAGAACATCCTGCACAAAACATAAAACCCATGTAAGACATTCAGAAATGTAAACCCGCATCAAGTTTATATATATATATATATGAGATAAAATTAAGCATGTAACAGATATATCAAGATGAAAATTACCTGTCCCATTCTATCCCAAAAGCCCCGGCAGATTGCTATGAACACATGAGTCTCAAAGATGGTATGGAGGTGATCTATTGTATTTGTTAGTTGCTCTTTCAAGGGTTGCATTCTACTTCGAACATCTGATTCTACAACTGTCTCCTTTGAATCTTGGATGATCTTTTTCAGTTTTGTTGTGCTCTGCACTCTTGTCTGAAGATTAGAAAAATCAAGTCATAAATCAATCACTTTAAGCATTAAAATTACTATATTCCAAATATTAGCAGAAAGAATAATTAATTTCCCTAGGGCATGAAATTCATGCATGTAAACATTTTATACACACAAACAATGTGGCCACGAATAATGAGTTTCAACTTTCAAGGTACGGTTTATTTTCCTTATTTTTCTAAAATCAAATACAGACATAACTTTCATTACAACAGAAAGGGAGCTAGAAACAAAAGAAGTGATACAAAAGAGACACCCCGAAGGAAGGGGGGGGGGGGCTGGAACTGTATCTTTAATTCTGAAAAACAACCTGATTATGATCACCATCCAATTTATTAACCATTACTTTAGAACTTCACGTATTTTAACTCTTAGGTACCTATTTTGGTAATGAAGATGAGATTGAACCTGCAGAATCAATAGTACTGTATTTCTTGTTTTTTTTTGATAAATAATAGTACTGTATTTCTTGTTTTTTTTTGATAAATAATAGTACTGTATTTCCAAGATCACTGTTTTACATCTATTCCCACTATTATTTCACAATTGTTTTCTTCAGAATTTCTTATTCTCTTCTTCAAAACATATGAATATATGATTTTCTCAATTATTTAAACAAAATACAAATTGCATGACACAATAAAGTTTCAAGTACAAGAACATTCCTTTTGGAAAGGCACTTACATTCTCTGCAAGTTTCTCCACAACTGCTTGCAGGTAATTTCTGAACTTGGCTCTCAACATCACTGTAATTTCACTCAGACGCTCTCCAGGAACTGCGCTTCCACCATCAGGGATACAAGAACCCCATGACTTCAACTGGGTCTCTATCCTGGGCCGAAGTACATCGAGCATTCTCTTCATGGAGTTCAAAAGAATTCCCAACTGGAAAGCACAGCCAGATATCAGGTCAACATCTTCAAAATCTAATGCATATAAAACTACAAATTATGAGAAACAAAGATGCATAGCTTGCCTCATCAGGGACAGTGTACATGCTTGCAGAACGTTTAGCAAGCTTCTGGACATATTTCAGGCCAAATTTCTTTGGGGCCAGATTGTCCTTCAATGGTGATAGAACATCAGCATACTGCTTCTCCAAAGCCTCCACAACTGCCTTTTCAACATCAGCAATAGCCTTTTATAGATTCAAGCAAAAAACATAAAAAAAAACAAATTAATGAAAGTCCTGATGAATTGTCAAAGGCTAAGTAACTGAAATCTAAGGTGCCAAAATTGTTATTAAACTGCCAATCAAAAGCAGCTATCTGAAGGTTTATATTGTTCCATGTTACTGCTAGCAAATATTGGGATCTTAGACCTAGGGGATCTTGAAGTTTGGACCCATCCAATACTGTGATCCAACCTCTTGTCAGTACAAGCTCCTACACTCAGTAATACTACCCAAATTGAAAAAGAAAATCTCTTTAGGAAGAGAAAAGCATGTTTAAACATACATTCTCCAAAACAAACGTGTACTCGGGCCAGCGGCAAATGATGACCTCATACTCATTCATAGTCTCTTTTAGCCGGTCATACATATCATCAACAAATGGAGTTGTAGAATGCTGTGTCCTAACTCCAGACCATTTTACCTGCAAATTTGAAGCATGAATTTAATTAAAACAAAAAGTTCATGATAGAAAATCATAATAGGATGTGCAGCCTTTGTAGTGCCTGATGAATGTCAGTGGAATAGTCTTTGAAATGCAGCAAAAAAAATCTACAAATGCAAATAAGGAAAACAAAAGATCCAAAAGCTCCAATTCAGAGCAGTTCTTTTGGCCAAAAAGTTATGCAATACCACAATGTTGCCAAAGCAGCAAAAAGAACTGCACTGAATTGAGTTGAAGTCAACTAAAATTTTTGCTCGTATCAATGTAATGTATTAGTGGAAAAACTAGAAAAGACAAGGTAAAAAATGAAGTTGTAAGTACATAGATTCGAACAATATAGAGATTGTGCTGTATACACCCAATTAAGTCACCACAACACAACAATATTGCATCACAAACTCAAATCCCCACATTCAAACAAATAAACTGTGCTGAAGGATGCCCTAATCGTTATTTTTTTTGATCAGTAAAAATCTTTCATTAATAACAGAGAGATTAAGATACAATAGCTAAACATTGCATAGGAAATTGCAATCTCCATCAGTCAGCTACAATTCTGCCCGATACAATGAAGATCTATTTGCCCCATAAACTGTGCTGAAGGATGCCCTAATCGTTATTTTTTTTTGATCAGTAAAAATCTTTCATTAATAACAGAGAGATTAAGATACAATAGCTAAAGATTGCATAGGAAATTGCAATCTCCAGCAGTCAGTTACAATTCTGCCCAATACAATGAAGATCTATCTGCCCCTTGTTTTGCTAGGGTATCCGCCATCCCATTTGCATCCCTTTTAACCCAACCAAACTGAGAGTTGAACTTCCTTGCAAGTGTGTCAATTTCTCTGAAAATAAACCTGAGCTTCCAAGGTGCTGATGTGATGTTTTTGGCCCAAGAGATGACCAATAGAGAGTCTCCTTCAATTTCTAAGTCTGTTGTTCCTATCTGCTCAGCCATCTTTAGACCTTGAAGTAGGGCTAGAGATTCAGCCTGTATTGAGTCACCATAACCTATTGGTCCAGAGTAGAGTGCCACCACCACACCCAGATAATTTCTAAACATACACCCTATGCCTGCCCTTCCAGGGTTGCCAAGAGAACTCCCATCGAAATTCAGTTTTAGTTTGTTCCATGCTGATGGCTTCCATTCCATGTTTACAAAAACTTTGGGTACATCTGTTTGTGCTATTTCAGCCCAATTCCTTAGCAGCTAAACCACAACGAACAAACAGTAAGACATAGCAAATTGTTGTCAGTGTAGGACACAACGACCTTAGTAGCCCGTGATCTAACCTATCAGCGCGGTAGTCTTCTGCGTTACGGTGGTGTATCACCAAATGTGCTGTCACGCAACAGTACAACTACAGGACAGCAACAGGGCACCACTTAAGAGCTACAGCGCTGTCCAGCGTATCAACACTATAACCAAAACATCCAAAGCATGAGAGGTTTTTAGAAGCAGGGATATAAATGAGTTCATGCTCATGTGCGGACCCCAAGGAAAAGGATGGGAACCCAGAACTCAGAATCTCCACACTGACACGTGGTAAAACCCTACTTGTGGTCTCTCTGTCTCAGATCTAACAGAATAACAGGCTTTGCCGCTTTAGGGAAAGTTCCCTCTTGTATTACGTGACTTCCTATAAATAGAAGGGACCCGAAGCTCTCCTCACACGTTCAGATCATCTCCGTGCGTAAGCTCTGCCAAACTGCACTCAGTCTCCATAAAAGCTTTCTGCAACCTCCCTTCCTTTCTCCTTGTCTCCCTCTTCCCTCTCAGGCCAGTTTCATCTTTCAGGTAGACCTCTACTGTCACCTTCTCCCTACAATCCTCGCTTACCTATCAGGTTATCTACCCAACTGCTTGCCAACACTGCCATAGGAAGCAAATCCCATATGCCAAAGTCCGATTTCCCAGGAAAAGGAAATTGCAATAAAAAGTAAAGGATAAAAGCAACTAGGGGTGTAAACGGATCAGGCAATATCCAAATTCGAATTTGATTAGAAAATCCGATATCCGAATTCAAATCCGATTAAACATGCGAATATCCGATTCGATCTGAATCCGATCAGAAAACCCGATATCAGAATTCGAATCCGATTAAATATCCGAATACCCGATTCGATTCGAATTCGATTAATTAATTATTTTAGATAACTAATAAATATATAAAATAAATATTTTATTGATATAAAGTAAATAAATATATAAATTATTTATATAACTTAATTATTATATATATTATATAAAATATTTTATATATTATATATGAGAATTAAATAATCGGTCGAATTCGGATATTTATCGAATCGAATCAGGTCATATCCAAATTCGAATCCGATTAACTATTCAGTAAGAATAGGATATCCAAATTCGACCGATTAGATATTCAAATTATCCGAATTCGATTCGATTCGATTATATTGAACATTGAATTCGAAATCGGATTTTCGAATACCGTTGACACCCCTAAAAGCAACAGAGTGCTTCTAATCACCATCACCCCTAATTGTAATCCTGTCTTTCTTTGCGCCATACCAAAACTTTAACCATTTATTCAGGGGAACCTTCGCCCACACACCAGTATTGGACAGGGACAACTTGAATGTGATCTCATCTTGTATCTCCTTAAACATAGGAGTTAACTCCTGCGGGTGGCACTCGACATTAGCCAATTGCGCTGGAGTGAAATCCCCTCTTGATTCAGCGAAAGAAGAGAGTATACGTTCTCCAAGGAGATACCAAGCTCCCCAAAGGCACCCAGGAAAGTGTGAGCCTTTTAGATTCTGAGCTAAGAGGGGTTTCATGTCTACCCCTCTTCTCTTGGCCATCCCTCTAAAACAATCTATGGCCATCAATAATCCAGCCAGACTAAGAAATTTACAGAAAATGGGGCAATTGAGAATCCAGTTTGCCGATTTGGTGTACTCGTCTCCTCCCCATCAGACTCACGACAGCAATAGATAATGTCCTTCCCAAAAACATTGTAGAAACAAAGCATAGAGTCCCAAGAAATTGAATCATACTGACTGTTATTGTCGAAACTAACCGGTAATGGCAGACAAAACACTATTGCTATCTGCTTCTCCAAGGAAGTGGCTTGGTTCCACAAGTATTTGAGGTCTACCCGGTTCAGAATTTCCTCAAATGGGTGCATTTCAGAAGAACGGACCTCACAGACAGCGGACGAAGATGATGAGGTAGACTGAGACATTTTCACAGTGAAAATGACAACAAAGAAAGAGAATGGAAGCAGGGAGAACTCTGTGATCAAGGGTTTAGGGAAGAAGATGAACAGTAAAGTTAGGGAATTCGAAAGCCCAAGCAGTTTCTTCAAACCACCATCCTTAAATAAAAGAGGGAAAGCCCGCATGTGTTGACACGTGGTGTAATGGGGTTAATCCCATGTTTGGAAAGAATTGACTTTAAGGGGTTTCATGTTTCCAGTATTCACCCATCACTCCTTATAAATCTTATCATTACATGTTAGGCATTTAATAGGTGTGCTATTGATGCACTGCTGCAGTAATGGTTAATCATGTGTTTTGCATTAATGTGATAACTATAATGCATCAATCATGCCCCCATGCATGTCACATTAAACGAAACGTTACGTCTAAATACATAGCTGTTACAAACACAAGTATACAACACTAAACAATCCAAATTGAAAACTGAAACCTTCCTAGCGCAGCGCAATTTAATACAGTGACCTAGTGCTAACTCTCTTATCGCATATGCTTATCAACAAAAGTACTTTTGTTAATAACAGGGGGCTATCTTACATTGGGTAAATCGCAAAATGACCAGACCGATTTTTTTCCAATTAGCGTGCAAACAAACTTTGCTCATAGACAAAATACTTTTTGTCAATAAGCAGGGGAGCTAATGTACGTACATTAATTCAGACTTTGTAGAGATAGAACCATAGACACCCAATTAAGTGACCATAGCACAACCATATCGCATCACAAAGTTAAACCCCCACATTCAAACAAATAAACTGTGTTGAAGGATGCCCTATGTGCAGTCTCACTTAGCAGCTAAACCACAATGAACAAACAATAAGACATAGCAAAATGTTGTAACAGCACAGGACACATCAACCTTAGTGCCCCGTGATCTCATTTGCATGGTAGTTTTTTGCACTACGGTGGTGTATCACCAAAAGTGCTGTAGTGCATCAGGATAACATACAGGTTTGTGACAACGCACCACTTAAGCGCTACAGCGCAGTTATGTAATACTCATGAAAATCGTGGTGATAAACCAGCATATCAAAACTTCAACCCAAACATCTAAGGCATGAGAAGTTTCTAGAAGCAGAGCTATAGCTGAGTTTGTGCTCATGTGCAAACCCCGAGAAAAAGGGTGAGAACCCAAAACTCGGGATCTCCACAGTGACATGTGGCGAAACCCTACTTGTGGTCTCTGTCTCAGATCTAACAAAATAATAGACTTTCCCGCTTTGGGGTAAGTTCCCTCTTTTATTACATGACTTCCTATTCTGTCAGGGAGTTTTTTCTTTAAGTAGAGGAGACCCGAAGCTCTCCTCACACATTGAAATCATCTCTGTGCATAAGCTCTGCCAAGCCGCACTCTCAGCCTACATTAAAGCAATGTTTTAAAAGCGCGAGGTGCAAAAAAGGCGCAGGAGTCAATTTGTGCCTGAGGCGCAAGGCGAGGCGTGCACCTTTTTGAAGCAAGGCGCAAAAATACAAAAAAAATGCTAAAAAATAAAAAGGAAGTTAGAAAATTCAAGAAAGTGCCAAAAAATTCAAAAAAAAAACTAGACATAATATTACTAAAAAATATAAAGTTAAATTTTAAAATAATGTTTTAAGAAACATATTATCTAAAATTAAAATACATAAACATAAGATATAAAGCATATTCAAATGAGAATTTAAAAATAACATCAAACATATAAAACATTTTCAAGCATGTAAAACCTCTAATCTCTTTTTTCACTCAATTGCAGTACTTCACATAGCTAATGTAATGTAAAAAATATTACATTCCTGATTCTATGAGCCGCCTTTGTGCCACACCCCTCGAGGCAAGCCCAAACAAGTCCACATTAGGTCTTAAATTCTTAGTTTTCAGACAAAAAATAATGATTTTATAGTTTTAGCTTTTTAAGAAGACATTTTATTAGGATATGTTCAAAAAAAGCAAAAAAGCACCAAATTTTCAAAGGCGCACGCCTGGGCTGAGGTGCAAGGCGCATCAGGCGCATGCCTAGGCGCACCAGGTGTGCGCCTTTTGAAAGGGCTGCACCTAGGACCTAGGCGAGGCACATTTTGCGCATACCCTGAAATGCACCTTGCCTGTGCGCCTAGGCGCACCTGAGGCGCGCCTTTTAAATCACTGCATTAAAGCTTTCTGCAATCCCCTTCCTTTCTCCCTATCTCCCTCTCCCCTCTATCAGGCCATGTAGGGGTAGATCCCTACTGTCGCCTTACCTCCCCGCTTACAAAAGTCATTCAAAGGAAACTGGGTGTAGCTGCAATAGGTAATAAAAAGAGAGAAAGTAGACTAAGATGGTTCAGTCATATGCATAGAAGGCCTTTGACAGCACCCATAAGGCAGAGTGATCCATTGCAAGTTTAAGGGGCTAGAAAGGGTAGGGGTAGACCAAAAAGGACATGAGTTGAAGTAGTAAGAAATGACAAGTGCTAATAAATTATCAGATATTGCATTAAACGGAATGGAATGACGAAACAGGATTCATGTAGTTGACCACATATAGTTGGGATAAGGCTTGGCAAATGAAGTTTGTTCACCAAAATGTGCATACTTCATATTTTGCATTAAAGAATAAAGTGGAAAGGAAATGAGATATAAATATTTAATTATAGTATCTATTAAAAGAGACATGTTCAAGATGAACACCTTATACAATTGGGTGACAAGTCCAGCTAACTATAGCTGGTATGTTGACCAAGGAAGAGTTTCACCACAAAGAGTTATTGTGTGGATCTGAGCATCTGGGTTGGTATTTTAGTGCTGATATGACATCCTTGGTTTGGCTAGTGATAGGAATCGAACAGCACCCTTGAAGACTTATTCTAGAAAGAAGGCCTTACAACAGTATGGCATAGTGATGGAATTTGGGATTTGGACTGAATTGAACACCAAGGGTATTTTTGTCATTTTACAATTTTCTGAAGGGTCTAATAATAAGATATGATTGTCTATTTATAGTTTGTTTATGTTTAAAATTTCAGAGTCATTGCATAAGTAGGATTAGAATTATTGAGTCTTCTTTGAATTGAAATAGGATATGACGGCTTAGTTTGAGTCCTATTGAGTTCAACAATTTGTCCCCTAAGACTATCATGAGTCTAACAGTTTGACTCCTAGGATTATTATGAGTTTAGAATCTATAAATATGTATGGACGTTTTACACAAAAGGCAATGGAGTTTATTGAGTTTTCTTCAGCTTATTCTAGCTAAGGTGAGTGATTCCCATGCCCTAGAGTGATTCTAGGCACCCTTTGAGTGATTCTAGGTTCTTTCTCTCCCTATTTTCTCTCATATTCCTTCAAGAAGCCATTACAGCCATCAACAGCCATAAAATTCTGATCAAAGAAGACCATTCAACATTCTCTAAGGACTAGAACTGAGCTGGTCCTACATCAGCTAGCTTATCTCAGGCAGGTCGTGGCATATTTTATTTATTTTTTTTATCAATATGCCATATTTTATCTCTATTCTATTTTTCTATGGTTTCAACTCTTTTCCTTTCCAGCCATCATAGAGGATTTCTTTCATTGCTGGCAGCTGAAAGGGTTAAGAAAGAAGGGAAAGGCAGTGTGGGGCATGATTCCTTTCTTTTGCAATACTTTGGACAGTTTTTTTTTTTTTTTTGTGGGAGAAACAGCTAATTTTTTGAAAGCGAACACTCCTGCTGGGATGATTTAAAGGCAACAGGTACCTTATACACAAAGATTTCAGGGGAGTTTCCTATAACAATTAACAATATATTTGTATTCGAAAATCTGATAGGTTAACAGATTGCAATCTTTGCTTATTTACATTTATTATATCCCCATTGCACAGTCCCTTGTTGTATACTTGTATATGGCTTCTGATGTAAACATCTTTTGGTACATAAAATGCCACACTATACTACCATTTCAAAAATAAAAGTTATTGATAATAGTTAAAAAGGATATTATGTTCAAGTACCCTGGAAGTTTTCTTCTATAATAGCATAGAATGAAAAATGCCACCATGAAGGTTTAAGGAGCACAAGGAGTAAAAGGCATGCATATAGTGACACAGAAGGATTGATATACCTTATCCAATTTACAGGACTCGAGCAATGAAAGGCGTTTATCTTGAATCCAGAGGATGATATACAAGTGGAATAACTCCTTTGCATCAACTCCTCCTTTGACAGGACTAGAAAATATCATTTGGTCAGTGGAGATTAAGCAAACTAACAAAATACTGTGTTATATTCTTGACATGGACTGAAGTAAAAAAGAACATACTTAATGTTCCAACTAGCAAGATCCCTTTGGAAATCTGCTGTTGCAATCACAAGATCTGCAACAGGAGGTGATGGACCAGTAGGAGGACATGCAACAAGGAATGCACGTAATCTACTGCAAAGCTCCACACTATAGATGGATGAAGAAATATTTGGGAGGTCTATAAAACTGCAGACAGAGAAAATAGGTCATTAATAGAATGTGATTATCATCCAAAACTTAGATAGGGAAGTAAAAGATAATAAATAGAAAAACAAATCAGAAGGAAAACCATAAGCAGATACTAATGATTGGTTCCCATCCCCTTCCTTCATTCAGAACTCAGAAGATCATGGTTACTTCTTCCCATATTTGTGCTTCCTGTCCTTATGGAAGTCATAGTTCTTCCAGATTGGTTTGCTAACATCATGCGATAAATTCGTATTGTTGAGTTCTGTGTCACATGGTCATAGATGCCCAACATGCTAATGGATTTCACTAGGACCAAACAAACATGATTCCAAACCAATTGCAGCTAAAAGAAAGTTTTACAACATCCCATAATGCATACCTGGGAAGAACATGCTGATTATGGATTTCTATATCAGTGAAAACTTCATTTCTAATATTCAAGCAAAGAAATTTCATCTTCTGGTAAGCTGTAGAAAGAGTTACAGCATCCATCAAGGTTCCTTCATTATTGTTGGTAACAAATTCATCTGTCTCTGCCAAGTGCCTCCTTGATCTCTTTCTTGCAGCAGTCTGCAATGACACCAAAGCTTCAAAACTAGAAGCAGATAGTAGACTAAAGAAGGGAATCATCATGAAAAAGAAACTTTGACCTGGAAATAGCTGCATAGTTTCAACTGTGCCTCTGGAGATAATACATCATGAAGAAGAGTATATAGCTTTACAGCAGGAGCCAAAGCCGGGGATGCAGAACCAGTTGCAGGCCTGAAAACATCCATCATGCCTGATGGTGATGACTCGTCCAAGGATTTATAGTTTTCAAAAACAAGAGCAAGAATCTGCTCAAGTTGCTCTTCAACTTCTCCCAAGATGCGGTTCTGGTTCAGCAGACAACAACCACTCATTAAGTTCTAATTTTTTTATATAGAAAAGCAAGAAAAAATGATTGATTAATATTGGCTGAGAGATAACAATAAAAATGTCATATTTTGTGCTGAAAGCAGAACTGAACTGCTAACAAACAAGACAAGAATTACAAGGGAGAGAGGTAGATAGAACATGAATGCATTCATGTTATTGAACAAACAGAAGTAAATCGCTTGTATTTCCCTAGAAATCTTGACAGTCCCTTTAGAAGTCAAAAGAAATTGATAGACAAGCACTATGTTAAGACAAACTTCAGGTGAGAGAATTTTATTAAAAACACATACCTCTTGATGGCTCAATGTGCCCTTACTGTGGCCCTTCATTATTACAGGTAATAGCAAATCGTGCACCAAACAGAGACAGTCTGCTGTCGGTGTAGCAACATCCATAACATAGGATAGATATCTAAAAAACATTGCAAATTTAAGAAACTATTAACAAAAATATTACCCATATTAACTGCTATAACAAGAAATATTGGCATATGTTAATGTTTGATGTGGCAAGAAAGGTCTCCAGCTAACCACATTCCATTACCTTAGCTTGGTGTATGCATCTGAAACACCATAGTATGATGCAAATTCAGTCAGTAACCACTTCCATGGGCCATACAATAATAAATTCCTCTGCTGAAAATTTTGAACCTTCATTGCAACTTCTAAAACCAAGTCATATGCCACAGTTTCTGCAACAGAGCCACACTACAAAATGAAAGAAAGGGGTTAATTTTGTAAATATATGTACTGAAGAGATAATGACAATTGCAGAGAAAAATGGTAAAATCTCAAACTGAAATGTATGAGTGAGAAGACAGGTTTGGGTCTGAGAGGAGAAGCAACTTCAAACAAGGAAGTGCCAAAGCTTAGGTTGGTATCCAGTTCACCCCTCCCAAGGCCCCGGATAGACCATTTTGATGGTTCATTTCTTGGTTTTTATTTGATTTGCCACTTTACATGGCCTGGATTTTCTATAGAAAATTTCATGCATTACTTGAATGGCTGGGCTTAGTTGAAACCTTAGTAATATCACCTTCATGGGTGAGATTATTTCATCAATCTTAGACAACTACTTTAATGGTCTATATCTTTATGTTGATTGGGTACATTATTTGAATGGATTAGATTAGATGAAATCTTGGTAATACATATGACGATCTCAGAAGGCCATTTTGATTGTCTGGATTTTAGGTGTCATTTGGTACATCACTTTTCATGGCCTAGAAATGGCACTAAATCCATACAAACAACAAATGGACATGGGGAGGGGCATCTGCCAAAAGATAGGTGAGGCGCCCCCAAAACACCCTGAGGAGTGCTAGAGGTATGCGCATCCTGCACACCTCGTACAAAAGAAAGAAAAAAAAAAGAAAAGGGAAGGGAAAGGAAGAGAGAGAGAGAGAGAAAGAAAGAAAGTTTGGGCCAAGAGCTCCACCCGCTACCCCCTTAGCTAGGAGGCTTCACCCCACAGACCCTCCAACATCTTTTTATCATCCTCCTCTGCTTCAGTGAGCTCCACCAAGTGTTACACCTCTTATGTCATGCCTCCACATTTTGAAACATCGAGTCAAACCAAAAAAGAATTACCAAAGTTCTGATTTTAAAGTTCATATCAATAATTTAATAACATAGAAAATTACCAACTAATATCACCATTGGACTTGGTTGGTTCATACTTATGCTTTTCTTTGTTTTTTAGAAGTGTCATCTTGAACCGGGAATTAAGAAGGTGAATACAAGAAGCATACTACTAAATTGAAAGATCTACAACAACTTCGTTCAAATCAATGATCTTATCAGAATAAAAGTGAAAGTTGTTTTAACTATACACCCCAGTAAATGGGCCCTAGTAATAACTTGTCTTAAATAAAAAAAGAACAAAAAAAAAAACTTAGTCATATTCCAATGTGGTCATTGATGATGTCACAGTCTTGTGTTGTGTCTAAAAGAAATCTAAACTAGAGGATTTCATTTGAACTACAACTTGGAAACTGAAGTTTAACTCAAGTGGAGAAAAGCTCATTGGAAGTGAGAGTATGGACATCATACCTTCAAACCATTTTCATCTGGACTAGTTGAATAATTTACATAGAGCTGTACTCTACCGACAAGTTCATGCTCTGGTTCACAATAAATAGGCCACCAGCGAAGCTTGTCTCCCTACAATGAATGTATATATAAGTTTCCTATACAGTCTGTTTTCCTAATTCTTAATACTACTGAGAGGATCCAGAAAACCTTACCGGGTCATCAGCAATAGTAGCCACCTGAGCAAGGACTCGACCATAATACTTTCCCTTGGAATCCTGGACCTCCATAATTAGATCATCTCCCATACTATCTGGAAAGCTGCATAATGACATAACAAAATTATTTTAAAAACCTAAAAAGAGAATGAAGTTATAACAACAGGAATATGGCACAAGACTACATACAATACATGTGTTTCACCAGATCCAGGTTGCATCCGAACAGCATCCTCTTCAGTTGAACTTTTCAACCTCAACAAACATGAGTATGTTTCTGACAAAATTTACTCAATGTCACATTTAAGTTCAAAATTTTAAAAGCCAAAAAAGAAAAAAAAAAGCAAGTCAATAGCAGTATGCAAATATTATATCCAAAAGCTGGTTTGCCACATTTCAAAGAAATCAATGGGACAAGGTCAATAATGGGCCATAGGTTGCCAAATCACAACTACCAGATGCCCCTGACCATAAAAAACAAATTATAATTTCTGGAACCTGATCTGTTCGTGAGGTGGTCAATTAAGGTGTGAATCGACAGCACAATACTAAGACCCCATTTGGGAGGGTTTAACTTTGGTTGAGTTGTTTTAGCTCAACCACTTTGGAGAAGAAACTAAATGAAGCTTCAAGGGAGAGACATGTATGTGGCTTACAGTCAGTTTGGGCTCCCTGGTTTTTTCACCAAACATTACACACAGGCTTCCCAGGTGGGCAGCAAAAAGCAGTAACGTGAAACCTCCCAAACAACTAAGTTGTTTGGCTAATATGAGATATACAATATACTTAGGCCTTGTTCGCTTTTCAGGAAGCCATTTACCTATGTAAATGCGCTTACCCAAGCAATAGTTTCCTGGGAAACACTTACCCGGGTAAGTGCACTTATCAGTGTTGTTTTGTTTTCCAGGTAAAGTTAAACAATGACCGTTTTATCCATAAAAGTGTCATTATTAAAGTGACAATGCTGTCCCATCATGTGTTAGCAAATTTCCCCGCAGGCGGAAAAGTTATTTATTTAACCAAGTGGTGGAGAGTAATACTTACCCAGGTAACTGCCACATTCAGGAATCATTCTTTTCCATGGGACCCACTAATACTGAAAAATGAACATGGATAAATTGGTCAACTCTTGTGCTGACCAACTTACCCACTCAAATTTACCGAAAAATGAACAAGGCCTTAATGGTATTGAGGACATTATTAAGAATTTAAGACCCATTAAAAAATCAAATCCAGATTGAATACATAGTCCAAATACCTTGCACTACTTCATAAGATGCTGAACTGTTACGTAGTGTAGTCACACCAACTTTTAGCAGTCCAGACACCTGCTTTATATATTGAGCGCCAGCATGGACATAAGCCAAGCTATGACGTGAAAAAGAGCCATTGGCAGGTACACGAGGCACCACACGAATTTTCCGAAGTGCTTCCCATCCAGAAGAGAGAGTTGACTGTAAATTGGAAACACGATGTCGAAGAGATTCCATTTTCACTGGTGCCCTTAAAGATGAAAAACTGCAGCCTGTGGGTGGATCCAGAGCCATTTTCACCTTACGAACTGCATATCAAGAAAGTCTTAGACTAATAGTAGTTTTTCCATGAACGTCTTGACAGAAACTGATGCAATGATTGCCATATGATAAGAAGTTGCACTACCTTGCACCTTCATTTTGCCAATCGTTTTCTTAGGTTTTGGTGCAGCTCCCTCACTGACAAGGTCTGAAGATCGTCTTGTCAACAATTCCTCCTCTGATTGTAAAAGAATTTGCTGTAAACTATAAAACAAACATAAAAAACAGTAAGCTAGGAGTTATAGGAAATCACGAAGTTACATTCAGTGCCACATGTTATGCCATGTAAATGCACATTACTCAGTGATAAGATTCTGACATGATAACCTTCAGAACATAGAATGTCTTTGTTACCAGGTGCGATGTGCAGCTTAAATTTACAAATTGAAATTCAGAGGAGCCATAAGCTATCACAGACAGAAGTCAAGTTTTTTTACTATAATACCAGATGGGCCACTGAAAGATAATAAAAGCAAATCCTGTAGTCAAATTCATTGCAAAAATCCTAATAAATTATTATAACATTATATACAAAACTTTGCCTTCTTTAATTGCTAATATTTTTCTGCTGCCTAAAGTACCTCAGGAACTTATCTACCACAGTGAACAAATTTTCTTCACTCCAGGAAGTTTATTTCTTTGCAATTTCTTTCACTTTCTACCTAAAGCCAATGCTTGCATTTTCTTGCATTTTCCACTATTCTCTTGTTGTTAATTTCAATCATTCTCCAGAAAGCAATAAACCCTAAATAAAGATGGCATTTTAGAAGAATAATAGAAACAAAAGATCCCCCTTACCCAAATGCATTTCGCAGCAGTGCACATTCATTTTCCAAAAACATAGGAGCTTCCATGCAGCCCCTGGCCCATGCATGAAGACAAAGCCGAACACATGCATCATAAGAGATCACAGAATACCAGGGCCCTTGTCCACTGAAACCAATTTACAAGGTATGAGATTATTAAACGAGATGAAAAATGACAGAAGTGAAATGGAATATATCAACTAAATGCCAGAATCAAGAACTGAGATGAAATCAAAGGTCTAAAAGAATGTACCTAGCATGAAATGTAGGAAGGCGAGCTGGTACTGCAGCAGTAGAGATGGTAGCTTCCACACCAACAGTAGCACTATGAAACATAAAAGCTTTAGTTTATTTGTTTAACTTTGAAAGAGAACAGTTTGAAGCAAAAGAGGAGTCATGAATAAAAGGGGTAATTTATTCAAATTACAAGGAAACCTAATGATTACAATGTTAGATCAGCTCAAGAAAAACAGAAAAAAAACTTCACAGACCTCGTAGACTGCTCTGGAATCCTATTCCCAGTATTTCCTTGGGCAGAGACCCCAGAAATATTGCTTTTTAAGGTGTTTGACTCATTTCTTTCTGTGGTGCATGGTGTACCCTGTGTACTACGAGCTTGAATTTTTTCAGCATCTTGGCTAATTTCCACAACAGGGCCACGAAATGGAGGTGCACTAGGGACATCATCATCAGAGAGCTTCTTACTTTGCATACCTCTGACACCTCTGACATGGTATTCCTGCAAACACTATACCCCAGTAAGCATGGCAATAGCAAGTACAATTTTCAACCCACAGTGTAAGTGTGTAATTGTGAACCCTGTAAGTGCAAGGAATAAAATCGTAGTATAAGGGTATCACTACTACTATGAATGTGACAAGATGGAATGTTAATGCACTCAAAGGTAGGACTAAAGATACACTCAATTCCCTAGGCTTTTCAAGCATTCATGCTAAGGATACTAACATATGTCATGTAAAGCAAAGAGCGAAAGTAGATCTCTAATCCTATGCTGCAAAGAGGATAAGCATTCATCCTTGATAAATTGTGAAATGGTTAGGTATTTTATTTCCGTTCACTGGCTCAAACTTTCCAATAGAAAGTAAACGTTTAATTCATAGTTTTCAAGGCGCCAAGGCGAGGCGGGCGTCAGGGGGCACCTTGTCGCCTAGTCACCTAGGGATGGATTTTTTTATATAGAAAACATAGATCCTAGGGTAGTTACCTAGGTACCATAGCCATATTTCCTTAATAATTATTCATAATTTTCATAAGAAAAGTATAGAGTTCATGTTAAAGTATAGAAAATCAACATATTCATGAGAAGAAAAAAAAAGAAGGAAAAGAAAATTCAAAAAATATAGGGGCTGAACCCTTATTTTTGTTATAGGAAAAGAAGAACAGAAAATGTGTTGATTAGACAAAATTTTAAGTTCTTCCTTACTTATTGGTTCAGGTTTTAAAGTCTTTGAGGGTTCGATACAGCATTTAGCAATGTTTGTACTGATTAAATCCTAACAAATAAGAAAATAATAAAAACAAATTAGTATATAAACACACAAAATGAATATTTTAGTTTAATAGTGCCTATTTTATAATTATAATGTCAAAAAATATAGAATAAAAAAGTATTTTACAATACATAGTACAAAACTGCTTGGCGATTAGGCGAGGCGAGCCTCAAAGGGCGCCTTGTGGCCTAGGCGTCGCCTTGACAACTATGATTTAATTGGCATACCTAAAGTAGTCCCAAACAAACAAATCCTACCTATATGATGTCTGCCTTTCTCCCCAGAAATTAAGAATATTCACAAGCCATCTAACAAATCTAAATCATTGATGGATCAGGAAGACTCTGGATTGGAATTGGATGCTGTTAGGGTTTGGCCCATCAAGGAAAATTTCAATGAATGATTTTTTCAGGTCAATTTATTGGTTGTTCATGTCAAGGTACATTAAGGACCCTCAAGTCTCAACTCTTGGCATCCATCAGAATGTCAGAGATGAACAAATTAAGAATGAAAGCTACTCTAAAAAGATTTAAAATACTCTTTTCAAAGAAGGCATTCTTTGACAAACTTAGCATTCTACCATTATACTCTGAAAAAAACTCCCTGACAAGAAACGATAATTGTACTAAACCATTTAATAGGCTTCAATGAACAATTTCCCCATTCTTGCTAGTAAGTATATAATTGGCTGGGAACTCCCATTGTTCTACTAATGACCAATCTGTATGCTTTAAATACCTAATCTTAGGCTTAAATGACCAAGATTACAGTAATAACTAGAGCAAATGTGTTGTTACTCTTTAATGTGTAAAAATGGGATATTTTAATCAGCAACAATAAGTATAAAAGAGATGATTTGGATATCTTCTTGTGAACTGTTGATTTGCACTTACAACTACATCTCTTTGACAATGAGTAGAAATTCCAATGCATTGAACAAAAATTAAACCTTAGGAACCAAAAGAGTGTTCCGACTTTTAGGCAACTAAAACCAATGATACCATGAAGCAAATCGGAGTACTAAATTGGAAATTATTTACAGGTTATTTAGGTTTTAAAGTGTCCATATCATTAAAAACACATGTAAAGAAAAAGAAAATTTATCTTCTATGGAAAAATAGGGAAAATCCAATATCAAATTATCAATTCTCAGCCCAGCTATGATCACATCAGTAAGAAGGGGCAACCTAAATAAGGTAAAGGGACCTGAAAATTTACCAAAAACTAGCTATTTAATCAAATATTGTCATCCATCTTTAAGTTGGGAACTCAAGTTAGCATCCGATTCTCTAATTCCCCAGGAACAATAAACATGGGTTTATAATGAGGACGAATAGTAATACAATGAACGCATACCGTTATGAGCCATGAACATTCAGAAGCAACGCGATACCGACCTTTTCAGTAGTAATCTCCACATTGGCCCGTGAAGGAACACTGGAAGAATAGCTTTCTGAAGTGCAAGTCCCTCCTCGGTACAAGGAGCCAGTGTTGCTCCCAAGCCGTGTCGATGCAAATTCAGAGCTTGCAGCAGAATCCGAAGACTCATCCTCCGTATATTCATGCTGCGCGGCCGAATATCTACCACCTACCCCTCCAGGTCTCTCCACTGTATGGCCCTGTCTATGCTGAACAGCTTCCCTTGATGAACTAAAATCAGAGTAACCATTTTCACTGGCGTAACGAGGTTGCCTTTGAACCGGAGTGGTGTATCTGTTGTGAGCAACACCATTAGGCATGCGCCGGTCGTCCTGTGGAGATGAATCTAGTGAGTACCGCCCCCGGTATACCTCTTCCTCAGAATCAGTCGTCTCGTCCATGTCAGACCCAAATCCACTATCATCCACATCACCAGGGATAGCTCGAGACACCGGAATTACCCCCGACGGCAAATGCCCACTTCTGAACTTAGCAGGAGGAGGCAATCCAAAGCCTCGGCCGTTGTTCCTGACGTTGGTCACTGGGTCGATCCGAGGCCTCTGATTTGAAATTGACAAAGGCACTTCCCTTTGCTTACCACCAGTCCCCTGATTTAAAATTTTCACAAATGTGAGTAGCGAAAAAAAAAAATCATAAGTGCAAGCCCTCATCCATCTCTTAAAACGCAAAAAAAAAAAAAAAAAAAAAAATTGAAAAAAAGGAAGGACAGGAATTCAAAGAAGAAGAAGATATGTAAATTTGAATTCAGGCTTACCTCTCTGACCCATCTAAGGGCATTGTTATCCAGGCCGTCTGTGAACATTGTTACCCGCTCTTCGTCTTCACCTACATCAGAAAACCCAAAAACACAACTCAGCAATCTACTGAAAATTATGAAAAAAAGGGGTTTCCCTTGATCAAAGAACAACTGCTACAGAAATGGCTAAAAGAAAGAAGCAGATCGATTGGAGAATACTACAACTATACTACATACAGTAGAAAAAAATAAAGGAACGATGCAGAGATTCAGAAGAAGAAAAGTCGGTCAGATTCGTCCGTCACTTGGCCCCAAAAACGCTCTAGTCTTCTGCTGCTCTCTTCCTTACGTACACAACTGTGGTTTAATTGTTTTTTCTCGCTTCTTCAGAGTACGAACTCCGAACCCTTCATTTTCTAAGTTTAGGAATTGGGATTCCCATTCCCTCCGCTTTTTAATATTTCAAATTTTCTTTGGCAAATTTCAAGTACAAAGCTAGAATTTAGTCATTTACCACTTTTCGGATGTTAGTAGCAGTAAGGTATTCGTTTCTTCTTTAGTTCTTTTCGTTCCAAAAATCCAATTAGTTAATTAAGTTAATTAAAATAATCCGAAAATAAAGCGCACGAAGGATTGCCGTCGGTGTGGAGAGTAACGGGAAGATGACGTGGAGGGCAGAAGTCGAACGTTTTTTTAAGTGGGGCCGGTCCCTGCGGGAACACTACACAGTGCTCCGCGAAACAAGACGCGGTCACGATCACATGGCATGTGGGCCCTCCAACGCTTTCTGTCTTCTCTGTCTCTTTCTCTCTCTCATGTTCAAATTCATATACAGAGATGTTTAATGTTTTCCATGACTGATGAAATGTCTTAATTACCCCTATATTTCTTCGCGATCAAGGAAAGACAGCTGGAGGAAGCTGAGTTGGATCACCTAAATTCCACGTGTTGAACGTACCACCAGCTCATTAAGTTTGCTCTATTAGGCTTTTAGCCAGGTGGACAAGAAAAAAAATAGATATTCGTCAGATTCATAGAGTCGTGAACGTGACTTACGAAAATATGTGTATAAATCAAACGGCTAAAAAGATATCTGGTTCCTTTTAATTCTGGGTCCTCATGTACATTAGAGAGACATTGAGATGCTCCTCCTAATTCAGATTTCAGAAGACTCGTGACTCGTGGTGAACGGCCAGGGGCCACTTCTCTAACAAGTAACGACAACCGGAGGAGAGAGTCAAGAGAGAAATACAAAGAGGTTTGAAATGTTGATTTTTGAAACTCTGCATCTGCATTACGGTAAATGAGTACGTGGACGTCTTGGGCCCGAGGGAACAGCGAATTCAAATATTTATTCTAACAGGTTAATGGGCCATCAGACAGATCAAATTTGAGCCCAATCACCCCATCTAAAGTTTTCCCAGTTCAGCGAGAGATATGGTGTTTATACGACTTTACACGACACTAAAGAACTTCTTTATCTTGTCACTGCCCAAAGCCAGGGGCAAAGTGGTTTCAGTTTTTCCTAAGCCACGCCAGGGACCATAGATTAGTTTTATTAATTAATAAAATGGTGCAGACTGGGCACATCATCTTTCCACGTGGCTGTAATGGGATATATTGTGTTGAAGAAGCTTAGTTACCTTTCCATCCCCATCAATAAATAAATAAATAAATAAACAAAGCTAAAGTAACTTGTTTATAATTTATAATTTTATATCAATAAATAAAAATGGAGTGTACGTGTAGAGAAAGTGAAAGAACTTAAGAACATTATGATTTTAATTTCTAACTACTAATATCAGTATCATCGTTAGTCATTACATAGAATCATCTCAAGGACGAGAGGGAGTGGTTTTCTATACTGCTAGCGATTGACCGAGTGTTCATTATTCGACTTTTTACCGAATCATAAATAAATGTTTACAATAACAAGCCTTTCTGGGTTGCCACCTGGCAAACATGGTTACAGATGGATAGGATCACGCTTGTAGATCAGTCCCATACTTGCATGATGGGAATGGAAATAAATGACATTGTTTTCCCTCATCTAGGTTTTGCCAAGTAAGTCAAGATGGCTAGTTCACATGTCTGGTCTCTGTTATTCTTTTTTATTCCCTTATCCTTCTCTACTCTTATTAATCAAAATGTCATCTTGATTTTATTTGTTTTATTGGGTTAGTCTTAGAATAAGGTGACCTACCGACCACTTTCTTCATCCAATCTCAGTTCGGAACACATGGGTTTCCTACCAATCCAACCTCTGATTGGATTAAATTAAAGAAGAGTCATCGCATTGTCCAACGTCTACAATTCTAATTACCCGAAAAAAAAATCCGCTATTCCTGGTCCACGTTCTGCTGCTCCTCAGGAAAGAAAAGAAAACATTAGATTTGATAGTCACATTGCTACCTTTCTGTGTCCACATTCTGCTGCTGGACAGCTGAAGAGAAAGTCAGTGAAAGGGAAGGTTGCCGATCTGGGTCCAGCAAGCATCACTGCACTGAAATGGTTGTCGGTCAATGTCCCTCATTGTCACGGACAAACTGGTATAATCGTCTAGTTCAATCGAGTCTTTCCCGAGAAAGTTTGGCTGCTCTTCACCAGAGGATTGAAAAAAGCACTCACATAATCAACTCAATAACAGGATCTATTGTGGTCTTCAGCGTGGCAGCTAAAAGGAATTCACATAACTCTGCATCTACCCTCTATTCATGGATAAATTTTAGGGTTAAGTACACTGCAGCTAAATGCAGAAATCTGTAAATTTTAAGCAGAACCCTTTTCCAAATATACCATTCAATTGAAAATTGAAGCTTACCACTGCTAACAGCACTAAACGAAAAGGTGCAACAAATGGGGCGATAGCTCACGTAGAATGAGAGAGTAAACGCATGGCCAATCTAAAGGATTCTGTGGAAGAAGAACGGGGTTCAGATTTCAGAGAGTTTGTCTTTTAGACAATCTGAACAATACAAAGGAGTATCACAATCTGAATGAGAAAAGATAATTTTAAAGGTAGGTGGAAACCATCCCAATTGGACTGGATAGGTTGAAGAAAACTCCGCTTACTACTGGCGACTAGGGGTGTCAATCAGACTGGATTTGGTCCAAGCTGGTCCAGTCCAATGTGATTCCATTACAAATGGACCTGATCCAATCCAATCCAATGAATATTTTGGACCATTTTCGACCAGTTCAGAGACTGTCCAATCTGTTCAAATTCCTGTTAATTTAGATTGATTTCAATTCAGACCTGGTCCATTGACACCTATGTTCTTATTTTCTATCAATGGATCAGATATTGGCTCAATCCAATATAAATTCTTATGGACAGACCAGGTCCAATCCAATATGTCATATTGGTCCGTCCAGTCCATCCCAATTCAATGTTTTATTGGTCCATCCAATCAGTCGAAATGGAATTTGATTTGAATGGAGTCTAACCCAAAACCGGTCCATTACACCCCTACTGGCGACAAGAGATGAGGCTTTTATTAAATTACGACCATATGCAAATTGCAAATGAGAATGAAAATGCAACAGACAAGAGAATAGGCAGAAGTTAGTTAGAATAGCCACGTTAGGTCAGTACCACTCCATCAAAGATATATCAGCAGTAGGCACGTATGTAGAAGAGTAAAAACCAGTAGCATTTGGAGACACCTTATAACAAAATGATTCTGAAGTGAAAACAGATCCGTAGATCAAGGTAAGCATATTCTGCATCTATAAGGCTCTCCTGTATGTATGCCATCCAAACAACAGAACAATATATCAAGGCATCAGAAATCTTCAATGCAAATGCCCTCTAGAGAGAGGGTGATCATTAAACCATTCATTATCTATCTACTATAAAAAATTTTGGCTCCTTGACAATTCTGTCTGTAAGATGGCTCAAGTTTCTACTTGGTATAACAAAAAAATAAATCATCAAAAGACTTGGATTGTAACAGAATTATAAAAGATCATTAAGTGCGCAAGTCTCCAAGTCACCAAGTTGGCTTAATCCTGAAGAGCTGCTACTCCTACCAACGAGTCTTTTTGTCTCCAAAAGCACCAAGTTAATGGAATAATAACTAACACAAGAGCCATCACCTTGGCTTCTATGGTCAGATAAGGACGAGACCCCTTCTTGCTGCATTGAGAATCATGGTCTTTAGCAACAGAACCATAAGACTATAGAATCTTTTTTTTTATCAATGACCCTATTCTATCATTGAGCATGCCTGAGTCTTTATGTTCTATAGTGATTTGTATCCAGACACAGTAGGGCGGGGACCACGTAGCTGTATCATTAATCAACCACTGAGTTCTACAGTGAAGGTTATACAGATGAGATAGGATGCCAAATAGTTTTCTGACAAGCAAGTATTAGGAGGCAGGTTTGCAATCAAAGAATGATTTCTTTCCTGCCATATGATAAACAATAATAGAAATTGGATTCAAAATGACTTCTTTCACCTACTGCTACGAACATTCCTAGAGATGATATCTTTCATAAATGACGAAAATGTTTGATATTTCGTACCAAAACCTGTATATTAAGATGCGAACCAAACCAATAGGCTATAAGGTTCCTATATTGTACTGGTACTTCACATTTTTCTCATAAGATTATCTATACCCTTTTGAACAGAACAGGTCAGTGGCAAGAATTGGGGCATCAGATTTAAATGCAGGAAACAGTCGATACAGGTCACAAAATCAATGGCAACACCATTTCTACCATTGACATCAGAGAAAAAAAATGCTCAAAGTAATAACTAACAAGTGAATGTAAAGCGCCAAAGAGATGAGAATGATAGAACAATGAGAGGACCAGAAAGTAACAAGATTCACACAGGTACTAAAGTAAACAAGAGTTGTGTGAATGTAACCAATTTATTGAGATCAGATTACAGAATTCAAGCCAATGAGATATCAGACTGAAAGATGTATAATTTACACCAAAAAATACTCAAAACTTAGCCTTCTCTCTCTGAATGGTGCAGTTGGTTAGAAACATTGGCAGATTCCAACTGAAATTTTCCTTGTTTCATACGGATGGGTTATTTTTATTTCATTGCCAGAGACCATTGATTGGAACCCTTCCTACAACTGAAAAAAAAAATTCCTTGTACAGCTCAGGCTTACAGCTCATCAACATTACACTCCCCAAGGTAAATTTTAATGCTCCTAGGTGAACCACAGCTGCCTTCAGCAATAATTGCTCTGTCATTAGCTGCCATATGTGCAACAATCTTGTATATCATTTCAATCTGCAACAATAAAGAAAGAAACAATCACCACATAGCACAATCATACACGCAAGTGCTAGGCATGGAACTGGATAAAAGGATTCGACACATACATCTTCAGGAACATGGCAACGGTCCGCTATCTCTTCTGGCGTCAAAGGTTCAACAGGCTCCTTGCAACTGAAAGCAGAAAAAAAAGTACAAGCAGTAAGTACTTGGAGCAACATGATAACTGAGAAAGACCCCAAGAACAATAATGATGAAGATAAAATAGGGAAAGAGGAGACTAAGGAAGCAAAGCAGTTTGTTGTTGAAAAAAGGAAGAAAAAACGTCACTGTCTATGTCACTATTTGCAGCTCCCATATTTAATGCACTTAAAAATTATACATACTTGGACTAAACCTTAAAGACCACTAAAGTACAAACAAGATTATACTCAAACAGCTAATTGAAGTGACCTGACATGAAATTAAAAAAAAAAAAAACCCTATTATATCAGATGACATTAGACACTTCCCTCCCCCCAAAGTTAATAAACTGAACTGTGGATCCATTAGGCTGAGAAGTATTTAAATGAAAGCCAATGGTCAACTAGTCAATGACCAGTTTAATCAAATGGCTGATTGCTTGAATTCAACTGTGCGAATCTTTCTTGAAAGGCTATTTCCAAGCATCTGACCAAACTGAAAATTGAGGATCTATTAGTGGATACCTCATCTTATCCTTCACAAATAGGATAGCTGAAATTGATCAGGAACTGATGAAGAGGATTTTGGCATCATGGTGCTTATCTGTCGTTGCATTTACATTTATCAATTTCAGAATTTTTGCATAAACAGGCAAGTCATGTATGCCTAGGCCAGTATATGCAGAAACATCAAATTCAATAGCATACCCTAGAATTTAATGTCAGGGCCAATTGTAGAAGGCCAGTCAGGTGGAGGATGAACCCCACCCATGTAAAAGGTGAAAAGATAAATGGTACGCAACTAAACTAAGCCCTGTCGCAACTATATGGGATCATCTACATTAATCCAGTTCTGGGATTCTACTCTGTTCACTGTCATATCCACTGTTATACGAGACCTAAAATAATTGCTCACCACCTGAACCAAAGATTCCATCCAAAACCACTGAATTTGGTATTATAAAGTGCTTTTATTTTTAAAAACAAGAATATTATGTTAAAGAATTTTTCCCCATGAAAACAGAACCAATTGGAACAACATTCTATTTTAAGTTGCCTAAGAACATTTATGTATTTAAAAGAAGCATTTTTTTCAAGTTCTAGAATGTTGTGAAAATAGAAAGAGCTACAGTTACATCAAGTCATTCAATAGCCTTTGCAAATGATGGTATGTCTCGTTTCCTATATTTTATGGAATTTGACTTTCATGAAAATGAACAATGAAGAATACACACACACACACACACGGAAAACATGAGGCTTGTCATTCGGAAGAAATGTACTTGAATCCTAATTTAGTAATTGATTTGAAGCATACCTAGCTTCATTTAGTACAGTCAAAACCCTCTTCTGTAGAGCTAGTACTTCCCCTGCTGCCTTTTTCCCAGCTTCTACACCTGAAATTTATATTAAAGAATGAAACAGCAGACAAACTAGTCAAATGAAGTTCGACAGGAGAAGCTGGTAACAAAAGAATAATGATGATGGGACAAAATGCAACACAGAATTACCAGGTTGATGATAAGCATTGATGTTAATCAGTGAAGCATAGATCCCAACAGCTCGTTCATAAAGTGCTATTAAAGCCCCCACAGATCTAGGAGTCACTTCTTGCACAGTGACTGTAATGGATTCTCGGTTATTGGCATAAAGGGCTGACCTTGTTCCCTGTAAAATTTTATGTCAACTTTAACAGAAGAGTTGTAGGAAAACCTTGTAAGTTTTCCATTTTTGCTAAAGACACATAACATTGACTAGTAGTAGAAGCAGAACAATGTAATGCTCCATAACCAACTATCTAACTGTTGCTTATTCTTAGGAAACATTGTTAAGTCCACATACTGAACAGAAAGTTGCTTCCTTGTGCACAGATTAACTCCAAAAGAAAAAGTTGTCAATGCATTACTATAATCATGAGCCCATACTGACAGATAATGTCAACATCAATAAATAATAACCATGTTTGGGTCTCTAAAAAGGAAGCCAAACATTCTAGTGACCAGTTTCTAGTAACTGGTAAGGCATGAAATTCATGGTTCAGAAAGAGATTACTCGAATGCATATTGTTTCAGCTAGAATACTAATGCATTATCTTGTCATAAATCAGGCGAGAAAAGAAAAATAGAGAAGAAAGAAGAGAAACTGTCAGAACTAACAATACCACACAACCTATATCTCTCCTTAATGAGGTTTATATTAAACTATCCAACTTACAAAACAGACCCTGATGGGACTAATATTACATTTAAGTCCATAAATATCAATTGTCTTCATAAAGTACCACCATTCTTCATGCAATTTACAACCTGAATACTCCAACACTCCCCTTCAAATACTGCAATGACACAAGAAAAAAAAAAGAAAAGAAAAGAAAAGAAAATGGCCCTTGAACAAGACAAAAAGGCTCCCCTTTAACCAAAACCTATAATCACATGGGGATTCCGTCAAACTTTTTTTTGATAAATTGGGATTCCATCAAACATATACGTGACACAATGTATTTGAGTGCTTGAAACACTTGGACATTCAACCAAAATCTGTATTGTAGCATGCGTCACAAATCCAGACAAAAGAGTAATGTAAGCATTGGAAAGTGCAGCAGCCTCTCATACATTTTATTGAGCAACCACATTGCACACCATTTTACATGAAAACTTGGCTGAAAAGGTCAGCAAGCAACTGCTGTTCTGAAAGAACATCCCCCTGTCCTAGGTTCAGTTCTAAAGTTCCACTAGCTATGAAGAAACCTTGAAGAAATAGCTACTTCATACAAAGAAAATTAGGTGAACATTCAAGAAGCGAAAAATTTCCACCTCCCCTTGGAAAGCACAAAAAACTGTTACCTACTGACCTTAAGCCTTTAACTTCAAGAGGGACAAATGCAAGGCAACTAATTCAAGAAAGGAAAAAAAGGATGACCGAAAAGACATGTATTTTTCAAAAAATAAAAAATAAAAGACATGTAGCAGATATAATTAGTAAACAAACAAGCTAGAATAGAAACAAAGTTAGCAAAATTGACTTAGATCACTCAACAAGAAAAATAGAAGGGTGCACAAGTAGTTAAGCAGCAGGCAACCCAATGGACCAACAAGATACATACGGTTAACCTCAATACAACCATAAATAAAAAAAAAAAAACAAAAAGAAAAGAAAAAACGAAGGGAAAGCTGATAGCAACTAGCAACTCACAAATAAAACATAGCTTAGCAATAGAAGACAAACCAAGGAAGCAAGAGATAAATAGAAATGTTGAACCAAAAAGCAGCGGAATAAACAGATAATCAGAACATAAGGATAAAATTCAACAGGTTTCAGGAGATCATTTTTGTTGAAATCATCATCACCTTCAGAGTCTTCAAGCTCCGATACTATATTGTCATAAATAATATGAGAAAAGAGAAAACAAGAGAAGAAATAAGAGAAAACTAAGGGATAACAATACCACTTACCACATGACTATAAATCTCTCTAATTAGAGAGACACTTTGTATTAAACATTAAAGTTATCCTAATTACAAAACAAAGCATAATGGAGTTGATATTACATTAAAGTCCTTGAATATAAATTTCCTTCCTGAAGCACAGCCACTCCTCATACACATTACAGTCTAACTACCACAACGCATTATAATTATTACGCACCTAATAATTAGACTAGCAACACATACACTTCGCAGTTTAGAGACCTTAAAGCTAAAACCCTAGATTAAGAAACTTTCCTTTTATTGCTCTGATGTAGAGAAAATCCAGACAGAATCCGAGAACAAGTAGTAGCAAAAATAATCAGTCTAGCAATATAGAATAGATAGAAAACTAGATACAGTAGTAAAATTGGAATAATTAAACCATGAAGGAATGAAGGTAATTAAATTAATCAGAAGCAATAAAAAATGGACTTATTAGGGTTTGGAAAACCACACAAAAAAATCAGATTTTCTCTCAAAGAAGGCAATGAAATTTTATCAAAAAAGAAAAAAAAAACACCATTTACGACAATATTCAAATACCATATAAATCCCTCTAAGCCTACTATCACTCAAAATGCACATGCAAAATCTCTAGTACTATAGATGGCATAAACTTTAATGGTTATATGACTCCATAAAAACTTGTATTGTAAAATCCATAAGCCTGGGCAACACTCTAGTACGTAACATGTGGCAGCAGAATTGCTTGTGAACTATTCTACAGCTATGTTACCCAGATATGGCAAGGACATGGCTGGATATAGTATTGGATACGGAATTTACACTAAAAGTTTAAATATCCAACATGATACAGCACCCTTGTAGTGGTATCTGGGTATGTATGATAGCAAGATTATGCACTTTCACTTCCCCAACCAATCTGGATCTTTAGCAAGAGGCAATAGACTGATCGTACATGGATATCCAAAATCCAAGCCACAGTTGAATGATGACATACAAGATCCTGAACAGACTCCAAAATCTAGGAATAGTGATTACTGAGAAATTTGTGAATTGCATTTGCATCATGCTGAGAAAATTCCCTCTTGAGAAAAAAAGGAAGAAAATTTGTATAGTAGGAAGTGGAAAAGGATTCAAGTCATAATAATACCATACCATTCATTACAAGATGTACATCTTGCAGAGGTCAACAAGTTTGGGTTCTGGTTTTCAACATTAGGCCCCACATGAAGTACCAGATTAATTCTGTTCAAAGCAACCATAAAGAAATACAGTCTCACCAAGACACCAACAAATAGACAACTACATTTTGTAGAAAGAGAAAACAAGTCCATCCTGTAACTCTACTGGTTAATGGCATTCTTACCTAAAAATACTGTTTTTTACAACAACCTAAGGTAGTATACCAGTATAATGCCAAGTTGCATAAACAATTCACTTGAGAATTTCTACAAAAAATAGAGGGGTAGAGAGCACAAGACAAGACCAACCAAAAAAATTCTAAGTGACATCAACTATTTGGTTTTGGAATTTCTCAAAATTAAGGAGGGAGAGAAAACAGACAACAAAAGTAACCCAAAGAAGTTTTGTAAAAAAAACTTCAGGGGGGAAACATGTAACAAATAGGGAAAATCTAGAATAAATGTAGTAAAAAATATGGAACTGTAAGGTAAGGTCACAATCATATAAAAGGATTGGTTCCAATAGCTGCCTTTTGCTAGACTAAAAGGGAATCTCTTCGGGATTAGACCAAACAAGAAAATCTTGAAGATCCAGAAGCCTGCAAGAAGATCTTAATTGCTTTAGTGATCTAAAAGCTGTATTTTTGTGAGGGTGTTTTTGGGCTAGTTATGTTTGTGAGTGAGAGTTGAATCTTTTGTGTTTTTCACTTCTTCTTTGAGTCTGAGTTGTTTGTTGGGTTTCTTTTGTTCTTCTGGTGTCGAGGGGGTTTGTTTTGGTGTTTTGCTAGGCTTCTGAGTTTGTATTGGTTTTGTTGAGCTTCGGTTGGTTTGGTTGCTCAGGTGGGAGTTGAAGTTCTTACTTTTTCTCATTCTTCTCTCGGGTGATCTTAGGTCACTCTTCTCTGTAATTTCTTCTTTCTTTTAATAAATTTTTATTTTATTACCAAAAAAAATCTATTGATGCATACCACCATTTCTGGAGGTACCCAAATATGCAACTGCATTACTGCAGATGTGATCCACATAATTACAAATTAAACCATGGCAAATTAGAAAACTAACCTGTAGCATTCCAAACAAATAGTCACCACATGTAACACCTGGTTCAAGCTCCCAATCATGACCAGGGGGTCTATCACGTAATACTTCAATGAAAGTAACAAAGAAATTGTGCACCCCCTCTCTCAGTTGTTGAATGTAGCTGCAGAACAAGAGCATGATATGTGTGTTAGACTTAATCATTCTTAACATGTGAAAATGCATATTATGACAAGGTGCCAACCAGCTGGTTGGTAAGGCCTCCAGCTGGTCATAGCAAAGACTTGGGATCAAATCCCGCCTGCACCTGGGGTGGGGTNACCATGAAAACTTTGAAAAAAATAAGGTCTTCCAATACCTAGTTTCTAGTTTTCTTTTGTGGTTTTTTCTGTGTTATATGGGTTGGGGCCTTGGGGGATGGGCTACTCCCTGTTGTGTAGCCCTTCAAAAAGAAATAAAAAAAAAAATGCATATTATAGGAATAAAAATGCAAGAGAACCTACGCATGCTGATCTGTGCTCCCTTTATTCCCATAGACAGTAAGTCCTTGGTTCACCTGCCACAGCAGAGAATTTGACTTAGAAATCTCCAAATATGAAGTTTATGACTATGAAACTTGGACTTGCAGTATCTCTAAGGCCTACAGTTCCAAGGAATACACCACACTATCAAATTTCTATATTGTGAACATCTTACTACCGATTTACTAAAATCAGAGAACAGAAAAGAAAAGAAAAAGGTCTTTGATCAGAACCACACATCATATGGATGCAGGCAATCACATGAAAGTCAGGAACAATCTCACCTAGCTGCATGACCTTTTTCTAACTTCCACATCTTTTCCCTTCTCAGGAAAGGCAACAGCATTCAGAAGCACCACCAAGACTATTGCCATGGTGTTCATTTGTTAATCCATATAGGGATTTAAGGACAAGAGTGCAAATTTATCAGCCAGAAAATCAAACATTAGGCCTTAACAGACCCAAACTACAACAGGAAAGGAACCCATGTATAATTGTATATCAGCAATTCAGCACACAATCCCTGCTGTCTACAACATTTTTTCCTTCTTTTTTGTTTTTACATTTTTCCCCTCTTACAGTCTAAAGAGATTGCTTGCCTGTCCACCTTTCTTTCCCCTCACCTGCAAGACTACAATAAATATTTTGGAATGAAGAACAACTCCATCCCACATTTAATCTTGATACTAAGAGATGCTTTTGGCCTTCCCAGTTGACTTGTGAAATTGCCCAGAGACAGAGAGACTCCTAGTTGAAATAAAAAATCCAATATTTTTGAAAATCCAGTGAGTATTGCATTCATCAAAAAAAAAATCCAGTGAGTATTGGTGATTCCTCAATTTATGCTCTCATTATATTTTGTGCAGTTTTTGTCACCATTTGTATGTTTCCTTCTTTGGATTTTTTTCTGCCCTCTATTAATGAAATTTCTCTTGTTAGAGACACACAAAGCTCGACAATTTTTTACCACAAAGTTCACCCAAAATTTTGACACAAACTTCTTCCCAACTTGGGTAACTTGGACTTGATGCTTAAATATCCATTGTATTTTTACACTATCTACATTGTGTTTGTAGTTAAGGGGACACTGCTTGGTTGATGGCAGACAAACGTGAGAATGTGAGTACGAGTTGAGGGCTGCCAGTTCATGTTAACAATGTCAAAGGTTAGATCTGTAAATCCAGTTCACCCCTCCCAAGACCCTAGATACCAAGGATCCACATTGGGTAATGCCCCCTTTTCTGCTTTGTGGACATGGCAATTATCAAGTTAAGAGTACTCTTTCCTGACAAAAGGGCATCAAGAGGCTCTATTAACTTAGTCCAGACTACTTCATCCAAAGTGTATCCAAGAATTCACAAACCAACAATTATAACAAGCCTTAGTTTTGATAATGGTTCCTTGTATGCATACCCGATTGCCATCAAGGTCAAACTCCTTCCCAAGTGACTCCATAACCAACTGCTGCAAATACCTACTAAAAAGTAAGAGACTGTCCTTGTAAGGAAGTACAACCATATCCTGTGAAAAGCCAAAAGTAGCCAAAGCATACCCATCAGTGAGACAAATTCAAAGAAAGGAAACATTTCAAACATTGGAAGCATCAATATAAAAATGGAATGCAAACCTTTGATCCCACTCCATCAGAAGCCCAATACCAACATAAAGCCAGCAAAGCTGCAGGATTATTCTTTACCTGAGGAAAAGAATATCAATTAAATGAGAGAAAAAATGCAGTATGAATAGGATGATTAATTGCTAGATCTTGTACATAGCAGAGACAAAAAGTCACACCTGAGCATGAATTTTCTACAATTCACCTAGTATGCATCTTGCATATTTGTGATGCATGATACAGAAGCCAAAGCAAAAGGGGTAAAAACTGTAACCGTGAACTTTAGCATGAATATTAAGCATTATCAATATCATAAAGGAAGTTACAACTCCAAATAAAAGAATGCAACTTTACACATTAGTCAGGAATAAAAAGATCTGTAACGAATTTCTGCAGCCACAATCAACAAGAAAGCAATTAGTGCATCTAGTTTCTGTGCTTAGAGGCATTTTGGTCAATCAGATAATCAAGGCCAGGAAGCCTTGGTTATCCACCTAATCAAGCGAAGGAGCAATCAAAATCAACTTTAATCTGCTCTTTGGGAACCAACCCATGCCTTTTTTTTTTTGAAAAGGTAAGGTAATTTATTAAAACAAAAACCAGTACAAAGGAGCCTAGGCCATTAGAGACTGCCTAGAGCCACCACAAATTACAGATACAACCATGCCTTTAAATGAAGCTTTCAGAGATGGTGATGGAGTAAATTGACTGTTTGTAAGCTCTAAACACAAATGGGTGGTCATCTAAATCTGAAATATTGGCTTTACTGAAAGGGCATAAATTTATTAATTTCTGCAAACAGAGATTCAAGCAATGCTTTGTGTAGCTAAAATGCATCGCATGATCTCATGAAGGTTAGCTTCTACTTAGAGAAAGCCATAACTTGGCTTCCAGATAACATAATTTGTTCACTTGGATTTTTAGGTTGGCCATTGGTGAACAACTCAACAACCTTGCACAAAAGTGAGGTGACAGGACTGGCTTATATTTTGGGGCTATGCTCACTTCCCACTGTTATTATGTTTCTTCTTTCTCCAAGTCTCTTTGCATTAACCAGGCAGAAATATTCTTCTGTACTTCAAAAAATTTATACAGTCCCAATTGATGCAAACCAGGACTAGGGCTGCAAATGAGTCAGATCTGATTCATTTAGGCATCAAGTTACCCATGGAAGGTCGTGTTGATTAAGTGCATAGCTATTTTGTACATGGCACCAGTGATTGAAAAGGCACACCTAGGTGCACAGGTGATGCGCATTTAAAGGCTAGTGCCTCACCTAGGCCCAAGCACAGCCACTTTAGACGCACTGGTGCACCTTGTGCCTCAGCCCAAGCACGTGCCTTTGTTAACTTTGGCGCTTTTTGTACTTTTATTAAGCATGGCAACTCCCAACCAAGCCCCTTGAGGCAAGCCCAAATAAGTCCATGCTAGGGTCTTAAATTCTTAATCCCCACTTAAAAGGTTGGTTGTATAATTTAGTTTTACTTATCTTTTAAAAAAGGTGCATGCCTCACCTTGCACTTCATAACATTATCTTTTAAAAAAGGTGCATGCCTCACCTTGTGCTTTTAAAACACTGCATTGTACTAGTTTCTTTTTATTATTTTGTTCTTCATTAGGGTTCAATCAACACATATGCTATCTTGAACCGTTGAATACTTCAAAACATGAACCAATAAGCAAGGAAGAACTTAAAGTCCTCAAAAACATGGGTTCAGCCCCTTTATTTTCTGAATTTTCTTTTCTTTCTTCATTTTCTTCTCATGAACTTAAAGATCTGAAAATGAAAAAAAAAATATTCAGATCAAGAGAAAGGAAGAAAGACTGCACCTTTAGAAGAAAAGGAGAAAAAGAAGAAAGAGGAGGTACTTGGAGCATGTTCCCACAACCACAATTCACTAAAACATAGCTTTTGTTCATCAAAACAACTCTTAAATCTCAATCACATTTAACTCTGTATAGACTCTACATAATGGCCTGGATCTTCCTTTACAAACTCCAATTTGGGCTAGGACCTAGGAAACTAACCAAAAACAACTTCTAAGTTCTAATTACTTTAGAACCAAGGCAAATCCATAGGTAACCTATTATCAACACTCAAATAAGAAATCCAATTCCTAAAGCAACTCTAAATATCCATTGTCAATTCTAACAAAACTAAAGAAATAAAAATTGGAAAAATAAAAAACAATTTCAAAATTGATGTATAAAGAAATAGAAAAAACCAAATCCCACCATAGACTAACAACCCTAACAAAAAAAACAGCCATAGCTCTCTCAAAACATGTATCATTTAGAAGAAACAGGTCTCATTTAAAAGATAACTCAATAACCTATCTGATGATACCAAAATCACAAGTTTTCCCTCTTTAAATATAAGTTCGAAGGGAAGAAAAAGTGATGCAACCTTTTCAAATTTCTAATACCTCCACAGTAACTCTTTGAATTAGTTTGGCCTTAACCCTATAAGAAGGTTAACTCTATAGTAAGATACTAACAAGCTAAAAAATAATTTGTAAAATACTCAAGTTGACCAGAATCCCAAACACCTAAAATTACAATTTTTTCACTAGTGCAAGAATAAGAAGATTTATTTCCCCGTGGATCTTTTTCCTTGTTTCTGTGTTTAAATCAAGGAACCAATTCTAAATTACTCTAATAGACTAAGACACTAAATTTGAACAATTATTAAAGGTTTTTATTGAACAAAAAGTAATAATTGATGTTTTTTGACCAAGTTCTAGTCCCTTCGACAAAGGCCTATAATACAGTTAGATAAATCCTAAAAAAACAGTTGCAATTTGAAAGTGGAAGTAGAAGAAACTATCTTCACTGTGTAATTGTCTGCAGCATTCTGGTAAGATGCCTAATTACAGAAACCCATAGTGACCAAGTTAAAAAAAACGAAATGGACTCTAAATAAGTGAGTAAAAACGGAAACAAAATCTGATATTTGAATACCAGAAGGTAAACCATGTTTTCTGGCTAATTGTCTACAGTTGATTTTTGTGATCATTCATGGAGAGTGGGAGACGAGAGAGAGAGAGAAAGAGAAGAAAAGGGAGATACGATTGAGAGGAAAAGAAAACTCACTACTGGCTGCCGCCAGTTCTCTATTTATATTAACTTAACAAAAATAATAGAAATTACAAGTATGCCCCTGGCGGCACACCCTAGAACCAAACTAATAAGGAAAAAAGAAAAGTAACTAACTGACAATATCTTAAGAAGTCAGCCTACTAACAGCAACTACAAAGTAACAATTAAATAAGCCTTACAACACTCCCCCTCAAGTTGGGCCGAATATGTCTATCATGCCCAGCTTGTCACATAACTCATTGTGCCACGAGTATGGAAGCCCCTTTGTGAGGACATCAGCAAGTTGTTCCTTGGAGTTGACATAAGGGATGCAAATTTCCCTTTTTTCCAATTTTTCCCTTATGAAGTGTTTGTCCACCTCAATGTGCTTGGTC